ATATATATATATATATATAAAAGAAAACTCTTCCCAACGTCTATAGGTGAAAATGGACAATGATTTCACCTACCCCCATCACCATCCACCCTCATCACCATCCAACTACGCAAGGCCTATTCCATAATCTTCCCCTGGAATTCCCAATATAGGTCACATGTAATTCACAAAAGCAGCGTCAATATAAGCGAGAAATACTCGTTGTCATCTGCTGAAAAAGAAAGTTTTACCAAACCGAGAGCAAATCCTCATGTGCATATATTAATTTTTTTGATCAAGCCATTTACATATATCATCAGATGGGTCGCACATCATACCAAATTACTTAAAATTGACAAAAAAGAAGAAGAAACCTTCACTCCTTTTCCTTTTTTTTGAATGTTAAAAAAAAAAATCTTCATTCCTCCCACACACTATTCCCACTGAAACTAAATATTATTGAACATAAAACTAGGGACTATACAGAACTGCCAAGGAAATGCGCTAATGCCTTGTCTCTATCATTGTCATACATCACCAAAACCCTGGCAACATTAGTTGAAGCGAAACCCATTTCTCGAAGAAGATTATAGGAGGATACAAACTCCCGAACCTGCACAAAACCAACCTCTCACAGACAGTAATCAATGGCATGTTCATCCATTTCAAAAAACATGGAGGTAAAGACACTACAAGAAAGAAAAGAAGGAATTTGGGAACTCAAGGGAAAAGTAGATTGGTCTAAGGTTGAATACCTTGTTTGCATTGTCACCATAGTTTGCAACAGCGAAAGACACTGCTTCACGGTTAAGTCCTAAGGCAGCATATTTGTTCACGAGCTGGTCCGCTGCAGATTCCTTGATTCAACAAGGGAAGGAAACAAAAGATAACAATCCATAAGCATGCTGCTTTTGAAAGTTTCACAAATATTTAAAGAAGGAAACGTATGACACTCCAAGACTTGCACAGAAGGAACGGAAAGCCTTCAAAGGGTTATGGTTTTGCCTTTGAGAAATCGTGCTTTTGAATTTCGGACAAGGTAACATAACAGCTTTTCAGAAAGTTAAGACAGTTTCAGATTAACTGGGTGAAAATTTATCTTTTTTTTTTTTGGGAATAATTCGGTGAACTATAATCATTGTCAAGTTTCGGGTGGAAATAGAACATTCAAAAAAGTTTACGGGGAAAATAGGGAATTTTGGAAACTTTATGAGTGCCTTACTCACCTTTCCCATTGTTTTTCAGTTTGATCTGATGCTAGAGATGTTGCATAATACAAGGCCACCTCCTTAAACAGTATGACCTTGAAGGTGGGGAAAACTGGGTGGAGACCACATATCTCAAATAAACAAAACTTCACCCTCAAGTGCCCGAATGAACATGGAAAAAGAAAATCTGTCGATATTTGCAAGTGCCTGTTGTACATGTTTTTTAAATAAAATAAAAAATAAATCTTTATATCTCCGGATAAAGTGCCTGTTGTACATGTCTCCAGATTTACAGCAACATGACACCAAATTTCAGGAAGGCAAGGGAAAATGTCACCCAACTCTTTATAAGAATCGATTACAGTTCTCATTAACTGCTTATAACTACTCCTAAATAGAAATAAAAACAAGAAAGACAAAAGAAAAGAAAACTTGTAATTTGGAGATGGTTGCTGTTTTGGGATTATGATTGTCGGCCCTTCACTTTGAACCATATCCATATAGAAATAAATCTGGCAACAGGAAGTGGTCTACTGACTCCAAAGATGTAACTACAGTAGGTTCAAAGCATTTGACATGTTAATACCATTTTCAAGATAACAAAGGGCAAGCTTACACTTGGCAATGTTGACAAATTCGAAAAATAGCAATCAGAAAATTGAAAATTTTATTTAACGGTTGAATGTCATGATGACTAGCGTTGTTGTCAGTGCCACATTCATGAGCAATAAAAGGCAATTATTATGTCATCTCATGCGATATCTGTCAATTAGCTGTCCCACTATGAACCACTACGGTTGTTAATATGGCCAGTGGAACATAATCATGTGATTTAGCCTAAATATAGGGTCAATTAGTCAGAAGTTCCAAAGTGAACTGGCAAATATAGTTAGACAAACAGACATGTCAGCATTTAATTGATTAATGTACTAGATTCCCTGAAGAAAGGAGGAAACCAAATTCATTTTCTTCATCCCATCAGAACTATAGGAGAGATTGGTACTATTTGCCTTTGGTTTTAGCATCTTGATTTATTTTTTTTCCAAAATAAATTTCTGTTGATTATCAAGGGGCTTCATACGCATCATGGGTACTCTGATATGAGCAACAAGAGGTTCAAAAGATTACATATACATATGGACTAGATAATAAGGGACTAGATTCTCTAGAATGCTCCAGACAGTGCCTCCTTAACCACTCCCCTCTAGCCAGGATATCAAGTGGCTTCACAGCTTGTCGCTGTCGCTAACCAATGTTTAGTTAATGTCATTACGGTTTTGCAATGATAACAGCAGTTTTATTGAATATTGATTAAAAAACGGAGCAAAAGGGGATAAATTCAAAAAAAGGGAAACACGGTAAATATGTTTTCTTATTTTTTCAGAAATGTGGGTAATCAAAACCAAATAATGCCAGCATGTAACTTTAACTATGAATTTTTTAAAAGTATATCTTTAACTCTCTTTCAAAAAATTCACATTTTTAACAAAAATAATATTTTAAACAAGTTATTTTCTTTCTAAAAACACTAATTTGCTCATTGTGTCAAAGTTTCAACAAAATTATTTTCAGAGAATATCAGCCTTTAAGCAGTTATGTAACTGCAGTTATTTTCCAGAAAATAAGGGAAGGGAAAAAGGGGTTGCTTTCTACAAGGAGTGTTATCTCTGCATCGCCCTATGGCCATACCATTATAATAGCAGTAACTGCATTTTTCTTCAACCATGTCCTTAATTAACTACAGTGAGCCAACTATTTGCCACTGCACAGCAACTCCTTTCTCACCCACTTAATTGCATTTAATGATTAATTACCCTTCACCACCAAAGGTTCGAGATATACCAGGAAGACAATGCATGGCCGACTACTGTGATATCTGCTTCTAATTCATTAGGAACATATTTACCCAACTCTCCTTACAAAAGCCACAAAAACAAGGTCAAGATCTTATCTAACATAGCCATCTGGTAGAAAGTGACAACATTGGAAGGGACTAAGTGACAACAATACTTGTTTTTCAGATAAAGAGTTACCGAAACAATCTCAAAAGCGGAACCCCTCTAACCTTTCCCAATCTATCGCCTCCCTTATCCATCGGAACGTCCTAAAACACCTCCAGTCTAGATGGCACAATCATTAGGTCCAAGTGTTCAACAACCATGAACCTAACCTACGGCCTTATGTTACAAGGTTCACAAGCATGTGCATTCGAGATAGTTCCTCCAGTAATGTGGTGTGGACATGCAAAGTATATACAACGTCCTAAAAAACCTCCAGTCTAGATGGCACAATCATTAGGTCCAAGTGTTCAACAACCATGAACCTAACCTACAGCCTTATGTTACAAGGTTCACAAGCAAGTGCATTCGAGATAGTTCCTCCAGTAATGTGGTGTGGACATGCAAAGTATATACAATAAATGTTTATTTCTACGTTCACAGTCATATATGAAGTTGTCTTTTTGATAATTATATATAAATTAATATATACACGAAAGTTAATAAAAACTAGATACATGTAAAATTTGAAGACATCCAAATTCTTGATACATGCCCAGAATTTCAAAAAGCATATAATTATAAAACATATCTTAATGGTGACATGCATCTTGTATGGTCCAAGACAGCTCCTAAAAGACTTGTGTTGGGCAAGGACATGACCATATAATATAACATGTCATCGACATGTCAATGTCGGGGAATCAAGATAGGGAGCTGCGCAGTCTTGAAGATTCAAACCGGGATCCTCTTTTGCTCTTGTTCGGGTCTCTTTGCTTATGTTGTATCTAGTCATAGTGGGCCTTTTTATATTTTTTGGGGCGTGGGGTGTTTCTGGTTTGGTCTGAGTCACCTCTCTTGGTGACATACACTAAGGGGAACCTTTGTATTTTCTCATCCTTCAATACAATGTTAATATCCTCAAAAAAAAAATATAAACTAAAACCAAAACGAATAAAATGCACGTAAATTTTCAATGCACATTTCAAATTCATGATATGTGTATCCATAATTAGATGCAAGCGTTGATGACCAAGATGTTCAAGGTTCAAGAAGCTCTTGCAACACTTGTTGAAAGTGTTGTTTGGCAGTTCTCATATGTCAGACAAGCTTCAGTGTTGGAACATGTTTGTACATAACACACCTTTGTTACCAAGCGACAATCCTTCATCCCAAGCCAACCATCTCACCAAAACTTGACTCTCCTCAATCCTTCGTCCAAAGCCAACCATCTCACCAAAACTTGACTCTCCTCAATCCTTCGTCCAAAGCCAACCATCTCACCAAAACTTGACTCTCCTCTCGCACCAATGCTACATATAGTACATTACTGAGCTCCATCTCAGTGCTAACCATGTCTCTCATGACATCTAAGACCCTAGGAGACATACCCCACAATGAAGCTTTGTTGATTCCCAAAAGAGTCCTGCTCCACAGAACCCTTCAGCTCCAGAGACATTTGCCCAAAAGAAACTTGTGCACCATATTAATGGCCTATTTGGTCATCAAAGAACAGGACACAATTCCAGTCATTCCACAATCCATGATGCCAAAAAAATGAGGATCGCTCTAAATTACCATTTTCTTTCCAAGCCAACCACAGAAGCTGGCAATGTTTTCATCCTAATACGTTTCTCAGAGGCTTTCAAACAGTAAACCGGGAATTGACTATGCAGACCAGCTTCCATTGTGCTCAAACCGCAATACATCAGGCTATCGAACAGGCGTAAGCCTTCAGACCCATTGCCCATTGTACCATGTGATTGTAATCCCTTCCCATTTCGCCATATGAAACTTATGCCCAAGCTACCCTCTCAATTTTAATTCATACATAATCCTTTTTGGGTTTTTCTACCAATCCCTTTAGGATTTTGGGATAGTGAGACATGGTAGCTAAGTTAAATGTAGCTTTGATGAGAGCAACACTCCTAGTAAAAGGCAAAAAGCAACTCTTCCATAGAGTCAACATTCTCTAACATCTTTTGATAAATACAACCAAAGACTCATGAGGGGGACAGACATGCAGAAAGGGAAACCAAAAGAGCTATCAACTGCATAGTTACCGGGATCTCCTACTGTAGTAGGCAATCCCTTCAAGGATCTCGATTCTTTCACTCCAGGAACGGATCTCTCAGGGATCACGATTTGTAAATTTTGGGATCTCAAACCCCATTGATAGGGATCCTGATTCCTACTGTTAGGGATCTCGATCCCAACCTTAAAGACAAAGAAAACAACCAAATTGATGATTTTTTTTGTTTAAAGCCAACTAGCAACACAACTTTTGCTTGCTTGCTATCAATAATGAGATCCCTACTTTAAAGAGTACACATAATCCTAGATTATCATACACTTTAGAGTTGGTAACAAGATCCCCAAAAAGTTGGCATCTCGATGCCTACCATTTGGTGATCTCGATCAGACGCATTATAAAATCACTGGCGAATACTACTTGTCAAATTAACTACGTTTTAGAGAGAGAAATAAAAATTCAAAAGGGAATCACAAGGAGAAAAAAAAAAACGCGTAAATACGAGTATTCCAGTACGGGCCCATAAGTAAAGAAGAAGAAAAAACACCCACAAAAGGCTTTGTCTCTCTCTCTCACTTTAAACGATCTCAAAGATCACTTTTTTTCCATTCATCAAATTC